CAAAGACCACCAGGACACACCTTGGTCATAGGGAGTGGGGTATTGATTTGTAGTAATAAGCGTGACCACAGACAAGAACTGACTGTGGGTGTCACAGTCAGGGGGTGCTCAAGAGGACTTCTTAAAGGATCCAGGCTGGTGTTAGGCGACAATGGGTATGTGATGAAGCAGGATGCTCTCTATGGGATGCTGTGAGGAGGTAAATGTAATTCTGTGATTGGTAATCATTATTATTTGGAGTGGTCGATCATTTTTGTGCTTTGGACTCTGTTCTCTTTTATCATTTTTAGAGACATGCTGACAGAGGTCCCTTGACCTTGTTATGACCCATCATGGTCCCCAACAGCACTGTCTCATGGTGGAGGGAGGTGACATTTTTCTCTTCCAAAAATAAGACTTGTGTAGCAACAGACAAGAAATAATGTACAACTGAAATTTCACAGGGATGTAAACTATTATGAATCTCTAGTAAAAAATAATAAAAATAAGACTTGGCCTACTGGTGAGTGGGAGGCAGCTAGCTCCCAGGTGCCCAGTGCTGTTTTTCCTTTCTCTCTTATTATGTAAACATTTAAATATTTCTTACTGTGTGGTTGACACTGTTTTAAGTGTTTCTATGCAGCAACTTAATTATAATATACAAATTTACTTACTAGTTAGCAAACTGTAATACTTGCGTTGTCTGTTTTGTTGAAATAAATTTCTCGGCCCAAGATGGAGCTGCTCCTGCCTGGGGTGCCACATAGGCAACCCAAAACTTAGGTAACTTCCCTCTTCCCGTAAGTGCTTTGCTTGGCCAGAAATGTAGTCCATCGGCCAGCCAGTCCCCAAAAGCTGGGAATCTATAATGGTTTCCTTCTTCTTAGTAAGGTCAGCTATGAGGTCCCAGCCCATAAACTGAAGCCAAATCCTCTTTCCTCAGTCCCTGAGTGCCTTTTCCTACAAAAGCTTGCAGTCCCGTTCCTCGCTTTGCAGTTTTCTGGACTCCTGAAACTGGAGACTGCCCGCTTCATGAAGTATGAAATAAAATTTGCTTAGATCAACTAAATTGTTCTCTGATTATTTTAACATTTTTAATGAGTCAACTAAGACTTGCATGTTTAGATAAAATGCCATCTAGCGAGGGACAAGGACAGGACCACTATTCAAATCAGGCCCTTCTTGCTGAGGGACCATGTCTTAATGTTAACTGTGGGGTGTCCCTCTCCCACCAGGCACTCTAGACTCAAACATATGTAATTAAGCACAAAATTAGTCAAAGCACTCTAGACTCTGGACACAGAGGCATGAAACAAACAAGTTCTTACAGTCCTGGTGTTTTTAGGTTTGTGGGGAAATAGACATGGTTAACAAATGACAAAGCTTGGTGCATAAACCAGAAATAAGAGCTTTGCAGGAAAGTTCACAATGACATGGAGATAACAGGGGAACAGGGAGTATGTTGCATATCTCCTCTACGGAGGGTAGTAACCTCAGTGATTAAGGATGTCATCGTGAATCATTTCTGTTTCCACCATCTGGTGCATCATAAATTAACGCTGTTTCAGGAGTTGCTCAGGTGTGAATTTAAGTAGTGGGTGCAATACAGAGACAGTCCTGCATTTGTGTGGGCAATAGTAACATTCACTATAAAAATAAAGGTATACTTACACACATTAGAATGAATAATATAAGAAAAAACCAAAATAAAAAATAAGTGTTGTCAAGAATACAGAGAAATTGGAACACTTGTGCACTGTTGGTGGGAATGTAATATGGTGCAGCCACTATAGAAAAAAGTACCGTGGTTCCTCAAAAAATTAAAAGCATTGTCATCATATGATTCAGCAATACCACTTCTGGTTATAATTCAAAAGCATTGGATGCAGGGACTCAAACAGATATTTCCACACCCATGCTCACTGAAGCATTAGTCAGGAGAGCCAAAGGGTAGAAGCAAGGCATGCATCCATCAATGAATGAATGGATCAACAACATTTAGTATAGACATGCAATGGAGTATTATTCAGATTTAGAAAGAAAGAAAATTCTGACATATGCTGCAACACGGGTGAAGCTCGAGGATTATGCTAAGTGAAATAAGCCAGTCAAAGAAGGACACTACTGTATGAATTCATGTACATGAGGTACCTAGAATAGAAAAAATTAATAGAGATAGAAAGCAGAATTGTGGTTGCCAGGAGCTGAGGGAGTGGGTCTGGGGAGATGTTGTTTAATGTGCATAGATTTTTAGTTTTGAAAGATGAAAGTTCTGAGACTGGTTCCCCAATGTCAGTGTACTTTTCATTACTGAATTCTACACTTGAAAGTGGTTAAGATGTACATTTTATAGTATGGATACATTACCACAATTAAATGTAAAAATTTTAAAGCAAGAGAGTAAAAACACAACACACAGAATCAAAGAAAATTTTGCAAATCACAAGGGGTGTGAAACAGAATAAAGGAAACCTCATTTAAAATGGTGTCAGGAAGCCAGAAGGGGGAGCCCTAACACCATACCAATCAACGTCAGTTACAGACCCCAAGCAGGAAGACATCAACTGCAGACCACAACTCGAAGAATCATCAATTACCATCCCAGCAGGAGGAAGGAAGATTTCCTCCTTGCCAAGCAACCCAGACAAAGAGAAACCATCACCATCCTGAACTCTAGGTTTCCACCAATGGACTTTCATTCAAAACAGCCCCTCCAACTTCCTCCTTTTTCTCCATAACGTAACATTCCTCTCCTTTGTTTGCTGGACTTGCCTATGGCTTTTGCTATAGCTTGCTTGTCCCAAATTGCAATTTCTCTGCCATTCCCAAATAAGCCCATTTTGCTGGTAAAATAACTCGCTGTTTTATTTGTTGAGGTCAACAGGGACTTGTATCAAAATATATAAAGAACTCATAACTCAATAATAAAAAGTCAAATTACTCAATTTTAAAATGTCAAAACATAAATAGACATTTTTCAAAGGAAAGTGTACAAATGGCAAAGAGCATATGAGAAGATGCTGGACATCATTAGTCATCAAGGAAATGCAAATCAAAACCCTACTTCACTGCTGCCACGATGGAAAACAGTATGGGGATTTCTCAAAAAATTAAAAATAGAAACACCATACGGTCCAGCTATCCCACTACTGGGTATTTATCCAAAGAACATGAAATCAACAATCCAAAGAGATTTATGCATTCCTATGCATAACAGCCAAGACCTGGAAGCAACCCAAGTGCCCATCAATGGATGAATGGATAAAGAAGATGTGATACATACACACACAATGGAATACTACTCAGCCATAAAAAGACAAAATCATGCCATTTTCAACAACATGGATGAACCGTGAGGGTATTATGCTAAGCAAAATGAGCCAGACAGAGAAAGACAAATACCGTACAATTTCATTCATAAGTGGAAGATAAACAAACACACGCATGAGGAGAACAGATTAGTGGTTACCAGAAGGGAAAGGGAGAGAGGGAGGGCAAAAGGGGTAAAGGGGCGCATATGTCTGGTGACAGGTAAAAACCAGACTATTGGTGGTGAGCACGATGCAGTCTATACAGAAACTGATATATAATAAGGTACACTGGAAATTTACACAATGCTATAAGCCAATATGACCTCACTAAAATATTGTATTTTAAAAACCCTACTTCACAACCACTAGGATGGCTAGAATAAAAAAAGTGAGATAAGTTTTGTCGAGAATAGGGAGATTTGGACCTTCATACACTGCTGGTGGGAATATAAAATGGTGCAGCCACTTTGGAAAACATTCTGGCAGTTCCTTAAAAATTAAGCCTAATTACCATAGGACCCATCAATTCTTAGGTATGTGTCCAAGAGAAATGAAAATATATGTTCACTCAAAAACTTGCCCATGAATGTTTATTGCAGCATTATTCATAACAGACAAAAGGTAGAAACGAAAAAAGTCCATGAACTGATGAATAGGTAAACAAAATGTGTTTTATCCATACAATGGAATATTATTTGGCCATAGAAATAACTGATATATTCATATATGCTACAACATGGATGTTCCTTGAAAAATTATGCTAAGTGACTGAAGTCAATTACAAAGGCAACTACAACATATATGATTCCATTCATATGTAGACAGAGACAGGGAATTCTATAGAGACAGAAAGTGGATTAGAGATGGCCTAGGACTATGACTGGGAGGAAGAAGATGGAAAGATAAGAAAGTAACTTCTAAAGGGTACAGGGGTTTCTTTTTGAAGCGACAAAATTGTTCAAAAATTGTGATGATGATTGCATATATCTCTGAATATAGTGAACACCACTGAGTTGTACACATTAAAGGGATGCATTGTATGGGATGTGCATTATATATCAATAAAGGTATTCAAATAAATAAATGCATTAGGAGTTTTGAACCAATGCGTTAAGTATATTAAGAGTTATCAGGCATATCCCACATTTACATAATTGTTTTTCCTAATAGTGGTGAAAATAGAAATTCGATTGCCTTAGGGATATCGCAGTCATTCACATTTCAAAATCTTTAGGCACACACTCAAAAACTACCTAAATTTCTTTCTGGTGTAAAATTTACACTTGAGTTTTATTGAACACGTCTCAAAGCTCACGGTGGGTCGGAGAAGAGTGTCTGCGCCCCGGCGAGGCTGCAGCGTTCAAATTTCCCAGCTGAGCCAGACCTTGGGAGGCTATGGGGTTGTTCAGCTAAAGTACCAAACTTGTGCAGGTGAAGGGATGGGGCAGCCTCAGCGCCGTCCACAAAGAGGAAAATGGAACCAGACTCTATTACCTACGGTGAGGTCATTTTTAAGTGTGTCTGGAAACAATGTCACAGTTCCATGAGTGGCCTCGCAGCCTTTGCCAACCCCTGACGCGGGGAGGACCCCAGACCCTCCTGTCCCCGTCTGCCCTGGCCTGGGCACGTCTCTTGCTATGGGCAAGGGTGTCCCTCCATCTGGAAACTGACTCCGGAATTCCTTGGGCTCACCTGTGTCCCTGCGTTTAGAAGGAGCTGCAGGAAGACGCCACTGTCCCTGTGGGGCCAGGAACAAGTTTTATTAAAAAGCAAACGCCCCTGCGGGAGAACAGATCCCGCCCAGACGTGGTACCTGGTTCTGCTCAGCCTTCTGACGCCCCGCCCTGCTGTCACTCAGAGGAGCGGGGGGCGGGTCCTTGCGAACTGTCCAATCAGGGGAGCAGCAGGGGCAGGTGGGTGGGGCCACGCTCCGCAAAACATGCGGACGCTCGTGGCCGCGCTCCGACGGTGTCTCGCCTGCGCTTGGGGCTCAGGTGTCTGTGCTGCCGCGTCGGTCCCTTGGGACCAGCCGTGGCCGCCGGAGGAGTGGGGGCGACGCTGGCGGACCCAGAACCCGGGAAACGGTGAGTGTGCGGCCCGGGATGAGGACGCGGGAGGAGGGAGTGGTGGGAAGCGGCGGGGCGGGCCGGCCTCCCGCGGTTCCCCTCCGGGCTCTGCGGCCCCGAGTCCGCGGTGGCGCCGCTTGGCCCTCAGGCCCCTCCGGCCGCAGCGTGGGGGCGGGGCCGGCAGGCGGGCCCCGGGCGTCCTGTGGTCCCTGCGCGCGGCGACTTGGAGCGGAGCGTCTCTGGGCCGCTGTGCGCCCGCAGCCCCGTGTGTCCCAGACGGTGCGGGGCCCGCGGGACAGCTGGGCCTCGGTCTCCGGGTCCGTGCGCGGAGGGGCTGCGGTCTGTGGGTCCCCAGGGCCTCCTTTCTATCCAGGGGGCACCTGTTTCCTTCTGAGTTTTCCAGATGTTTGGGGAGCAGCGTCTCAAATCCACGACCCTGTCCCCACAGCTCTTCCCAGGACCGACAATAAATCCCTAAATTTCGAGATTCCTCCCCGCATTCCCAAAGCCAGCTTCCCCTCTCCCATTCACAGCATCATTATCGCCTGTTCGTCCTCCCTGGTGCATTTCCAACAGACCCAATATTTTAACTGTTTATCGTTATCCCCCAGAGCCATGGATGGCTCTTTTTTAAAGATTCTATTTGTCTGTGGATGTTTTACACGAGAGGAAAGCAGAGAATAACCACCTGGAACTACGTTCCATAAAATCCTTGTGCCCTCCCTCCACGATCTCTCTGGGCACAGACATCCTATGGGAAGTCCTCTGGGGGGAGGTTCCTCTTCGGAAACTTTCTTGGGTGATCTGTCCTGTCACACTGCCCCTCCCTGGTTTGTTACTTTGAAAAGATTCGTTCACTTTTTTTAAGTCTCCGTTTTACAATAAATGTAAAATGAATTCAATCAATAGATCTTGCAAGACAGTATCAAATAGTTCCAAAGAGGCAAGAAAGAAGTGAATTTCAAAAAAATAAAATATAAAAGTATCATATTGCATGCGTTAAAATTTCTTGTTTCACTTTTTACTTCCCCTAATAGGTTTAGAATGTTTTGAGGTCTGCTCTTTCCTTTTGGGTGATTTCAGATGGAATTCCAGGGCTTAGACTGGCAGATCAGAAGTGTTGCAGTATGAGTGATTGTTTACAAAACAATTTGTTGCCATGGAAATAATAATTAAGATTATTAGTTTCTTTTTTTTTCTTTTGCTGGTCTAGAGTCACCCTGAGCTAACATCTGTTTCCAATCTTCCTCTCCCCCTCCCCGAAAGCCCCAGTACATAGTTATATATTCTAGTTGTAAGTCCTTCTAGTTCTATGTGAGCGACCGCCACAGCATGGCAATTCACAGGTAAATGGTGCGGTTCCATGCTGGGGAACCAGCCTGGGCCACCGAAGCAGAGCATGGCAAACTTTAACTGCTAGGCCATCAGGGCTGGCTCAAGATTATTATATTCTTAAAGCAATAGATACTCAGGGGTTTTCTCGTTGAGCTAGCAAAATGCCATACAATTTTCTTCCCTCGTTTCCATGGAAACACTGGGTTTGAATGATTTTACTGGATTGTTCAACAACTGAGTTTGTGTATTTAAAACATCACTGGTGTTCCAGAGCACCTCCAGTGGGGGCAGAAGCCTCAGGGCAGGGAGTCTAAGCTAAGGCCCCTTTGGGCCTGCAGAGGGAAGGCCTTGAAGGCCCAGTTGTCCTTCCTGGGGAGCCTCCCCCTGCAGGTGTCCTCCTGCTCACACCCCCATGGAAGGAGCCTTTATCCTGAGAGGAGCTGCAGAGCCCTGGAAAGCTGGGGGTGCACGTGCTCCTGGGGTGGGGAGTGACGCCCTGTCTGAGGTTGTCACTGTGGATTCCTTGGGCCTGTTTCTAGACGTAATTGGAGTTTTGCATCCACAGTGTAGGTGCACGCAGGGAGTAATTTGTTTACACTGAGAAAGTCTGTGAGAGTCAGGAGCTCTGGGTCCTGGATCAGGGCCCATTAATCTGGGGTCCATTTGGGTCAGAACCTTAAACTGAATCCAGCTGAGTTTCCCCACTGTGAGAATGGAGCCTGAGAGAGGGAGCATGTGCACCGTTCCCTGGGGAGAGGAGGGTGTGTGGGGCTCCCAGAGCTCCTTCCTGTGGCTGCTCAGGTGCCCTCCCCTCCTTCTCCAGGGACTGACCCCCTCCAGGGCTCTGTCCCTACCAGGAGAGTCAGGAACACGGAACCTTCTGACGGTGGCTTTCCTTCTGTCCAGGAGCTGCTGGTGGCATAGTGGTTAAGTTTGCACACTCTGCTTTGGCAGCCCGGGGTTTGCTGGTTCAGATCCCAGATAGGGACCTACACACTGCTCGTCAAGCCATGGTGTGGCGGCATCCCACGTATAAAATGGAGGAAGATTGGTTCAGATGTTGGCTCAGGAACAATATTACTCAAGCCAAAAGAGGAAGATTGACAACAGGTGTTGGCTCAGGGCCAATCTTTCTCACAAAAAATTAAAAAAAAAAGCCATCGCAAATGCATATTTTTCTTACCCACGTTTGTCCTTGTAATGAGCAGTCAGACTCCACATTTTTTCTTGTTTGCTCCCAGCTTAAGCCTCCTCTCTCCTTCTGCCTCTTGTGCCCCCCCCCCCCCACACCCGACAAGCTGAGGAGGAAGCCTGAGTGCTTTCTCCTCTGCAGGAGATTCCCACCACCCCAGCCCCTGCCTGCTTATTCCTGAAAATACCCCAGTGTGAGCTACAGGGGGAGGACAGACTAGGATGCTGCAGGTCCTTTTAGGTAGAAAGATTTAAAAATTTTCATTCTGTGGTTTGCACTTTTGTAACTGTTAGTGTTTAAAGGAACTAAATCTGCTAGAATCGTTTCCTATGTACAAAAGTTAAAAAAAATAAAAGGCTGTTAAATAATAAAATATAGTACATATCAGTTTCTCTGTTTTTTAAAAATAATTCTGTAAGACAGCAAAGTCTGACTTATGATCATGGCCAACATACCCTGGTCCCCTCCAGCACTGTTACTCAAGTCACCCCGAGTACACAGTTTTGATGATTTTTTGAGCTTTCTGTTAGTGTTTCTTTATATAAAAAGAAGCAACTGCAAATTCATGTATTTTTACCCATGTTTGTCCTTGTAGTGAGCAGTCAGACTCCACATTTTTCGTGACTTCTCACAGCCTAAGCCCCACCCACCCTCCTCCCCTTGTGCCCCCACCTGGACAAGCTGAGGAGGAAGCCTGGGTGCTCTCTCCTCTAGAGCAGGCAGGAGATTCCCACCACCCCAGCCCCTGCCTGTGTGCAGAGCTCTCGCCCCGGCCCCACCCCCAGGCCCAGTGAAGCCCCAGGCCAGGCTCCATTCCTTGCTTTCTGAGCCCTGTCAGAGCTGCTTGAGAGGCTGGCCCTGCCCTCCCCTCAGACCTCTGTTATGTGAGTCCTAAGCCTTTTCCTACCTTGTGTGTGTGTGTGCCACCCTGGCATCAGTGTCAACAAGGGAACCACCCCTCTGCAGGGACCATAACAGTTGGCGCCCTGAGCAGCATGTCTAGACATGACCCCACCCGTGGGTCTGTCTTCTCTTGCTGTGCCTTGCTCCCCTGCTCTGCTGCCTGGTGGCGGCATGCACTGTGGGCTGCTGCTCGCTGGGGAGCTGGGCTGTGAGCTGTGCTGCCCCCTGTGGCATTGTTGACCCTACAAGGACTCAGTTCTAGGTTCAGCTGAGCGGAGCCTGCAGTTTTGAAAATTCCTAGGCATTTGGGAGCAGGACTGTGGGATTGAGGCCTCATTAGAGTAGTTGTGGGTCAGTGTCTTTGCTGGGATTGGTCTGTGTGTTAGAGTGAAGCTGTGACATGAGCTGCGTTGGTCTAATATACCCCAAGGATGGGGTTGGTGGACAGGGACTAAACTCCCTGCAAGAGGAGGGCCCATCGGTGGTCACTCCTGAGAGAGCTGTCATTTAAAGAGAAAGAAGAGAAGGTGAAAGGCAGACAGTAGGTGGCAGGCTGAGTCCACGCTCCTAACACCAGAGGGCTCCCCAGGCCCCTTCAGTACCTCTGCTGCTGCCGCCGCCCCTGCCTTTACTGTGACAAAGATCCTGACCTTCAGGGCTATAGGGGACAACACCATGGCACCCCTGTGGCATAAACGATTAGTTCAAACCTGACTTAAGCCCAGGGTTTAACCCTATAAAGCAACCAGTTGTCATGGGGAAGCTCCCAGCCCTGGTGGCACTGTTCTGAGGCTCTTGGGGGGAATAAAATTTATAAATAGCAGAGTACAGAGGCACTCCCTCCCCTCAAGTGTATTGGGTGTTTAAAAAAAACAAAAAACAAAATAAGAGAGGGAGGGAGAGAGGAAGCAAAAGAAACAAATACTGAAACAGGTCCACATTTTGACCAATTAGAAATCCAACATATACTGAATTTATGTAACAAAACAGATGGAGGCACACTCTTGGCTTTGGGGCCTCTGCAGCATCTGTTCTGAATTGATTTCACCATCTGCTGCAATGCACCAGTTCAGAAACCTTCATACAAACAGTCAGTATGAGGGTTCAAACTGTAGTTGTACCTGGGGATCCCGCTAAATTTGATACCCCCACAATCTTAGGGCAGTTACCGAATATAAAATAGGAGACAAATAGCTGTGGCTCACCTTAACACCAGAAAACTATGGTCTTGCCTGAATTCCCCAGGATCGTGACACTCAATGTCCTAGAATATCCCACACTGAGCAGGGAAGCTCTGAACCAATGAGTCATGAATTAAATTTAAGACACGTCTTTGGGACTTGCAGATTATCTTGTCCAAATGGGACCCCACAGACCTTTAACCTCCGGTTAAATGACTTGACATGGCGCAGTGTAAACAGGGCTTTGAAGGACTGAAAACCATTGTGCAACCCCTGTTAGTGAGAAGTGATGATTCTCTGTGCTTCTCCTTTTCGCAGCCGGATTTGGCCTGTTCATAAATCTGGAAGGAATGAACGGCACCTCACAGTGGATCACTGCAACCTGGAGGCTGCGGTCGCGCCAAACACAGCCCTAGACCCAGTCCCCAACAGTATGGAAAGCACTGACTCCGTCCAGTCAGCAGCTGGTAAACATTCTGCTCGCACAGACTCAGCTGAGTCTGTTCTGTTCAGAGCCTGTGTCCACAGCCTCTTAGCTGCACTGGGCCTTCCCCTTTGAGGGGACATGATGCCCCTTTACTGGGTTGTCCTCATGGATCTTCCACAGCTGTGCCCTCTCACAGCCACTGCAGGCGGGGTCTGAACTGCACCCACCTTGCCCCAGGAGCACAGTGTAACATGACCCTAACGACATCCTCCTCCAAGGACGTTCGGTTGACCTTCATTCAGGACAAACAAATATTGAAGAGAGGAGCTCACGAAAAGCAGATGGGCCATTCCCCACACATAATGTGAGGCCTTGACACCTTGGTTGAATTCCTAAAAACTATTTGGTAAGCCAGGGGCTGCTCCTCCCTGATAATGGGAAGAAATAGCTATTGTCCTCATAGCACACCCGTTTCTGCAGGTTCTCTTGATGTTTGGGAGGCAATATATTTCTTGTTTACAGGTTTTCCTTGAGCCCGTTTATGCTGTTATGTGCAAATTTGCCACCCTGAGTGGGCACCCCTACCACAGAAGGCTGGAGACTCTCTTCAAATTGTCCTACAGCCAACACTCCTGTTAGTGTCCTTGGAGATTCCTTCCCTACGGAGGCCTCAGTGACCTTCTGTCATGTCTTCTGGGGTACCCTTGATGGCCTTAAGTTGCCTGTAGGCTTCTGATGCAAGAACCTGCCCCAGCCCCCCACTGTGTGCCATTGGAGCTGCAGTCACCACCACATACTGGTCTCTCCTGATGATAGAGGCTCTCCGAGGCCCTGAGCATGGGACCCATGGGACCCTCCACTCAGCTGCCCGTTATGCTTTGGGCTCTGGAAACAGCACCCCATGAGCTCAGCACGGCTCCTAAGACCTCCTTGAGACACGATGGAGCCAAACCTGGGCTCTCTGGGATATCCTACCTGCAGGAGCGGGTGCCCTTCCATCCTGTCAGTTCCTTGCCACGTGCCATTGTTCTGGAAGAGGTCACCCCTCTCCCAGACCCCTTGGCTCCCAGGGAAGTGTCTTGGTTTAACGCAGTGAACTGCAACATGAGTTTGCAACATTTGTACAAGATGGAGCCCAGTGGAGAGTTACTGCTTTTCATCTCTTAATTGAGACAACCTTCATAAAGAAGGGGACCCCAACATAACTGAAACATCCCAAACTAACCACACATCAGGCGGTTATATTATTTTAAAAGTTCTTTAAGAAGTTTATCCCCTCCTCACCAGCAGATTGGCTCACCCACATCCAGGGAGAGAAAGGCGTGCGGGTCCCGTGATGTTGAGGGTAGGGTCCGTCGGAAGCGGGTGGAGCCTAGCTCAGATACCCATCTGACAAGATCAGAGCAGCAGGAGAATGGACACTGCAGTACAGAGAGATGGAAGGACCTCAAATTTGATTGACGATGCTTGGCAAGAAGACAAGCTGCCATCTCGAGGGTGTTGCAATACCACTGAGCAGGACAAGAGGTGGCACCACAGAATCTGTTAGAGAATGAGAAATGAAGTGGACAGGTAGCCTTATGGTACCTCCGTGGGAACATTTCCCCCATGGGTAACTGATGTCTGGCTCCTCTCCCCTGGACGGTTTCAGAAAACACATAGATACAAAATGCTTTCTTTCAGCCTCCTAATTCAGATCTTTTAGTAATAGACCAGCACTCCGAATGCACACCCGCTTAGTTTGCGGAAGCAAAGCGCAATGTGGAAATACCAGAATGAGAAACTGGTTGAGATTTCTCGGGAATGCAGACTGTTTGACTCTCTGAACCTCTGGTTCTTCATTCACTAGGTCGTGTTTGAACATGATTGGTTAAACATTTGCCTTTCACTCTGATTTTGCTTTGCTGTCACTGTTTAACACATTCCAGCTGGTTATCTGTGTCCTGGGACACGGGCGACTGAAGTTATGTGAGGAAAGGGCAAAGGAGACGAAGCAAGACATAAGGAGAATTATTAACTTCTCATGCACGCCTGCTCTGAGCAGCATCCTGAGCGGATGTGTGTCAAGCCTGTGGGCGTGATGGATAGAGAGAGAGCCTTCACTGATCACTGAGATTCAAGATCCCCCATGGCGTTCTCAGACTTTGGTCACATTTCGATTTAAAAGGTTACGTGACAGTTACCTCTGCTCTCCCTACAGCTTCTTTTGATGCCCCTGGAAAGGATCTTTGGCTAGAGGGACTGCTAGTTTTATCCGGTAATGGAATTGCTTAATTGCTCAGAGCCCTTCCAGATGTCACTGGGACACCGTGAAGTCAGCATTTAGTTACACATTTGTATAAGAACTTGATTTTGCAGAACCCGTTTGTGGACATTTATCTCCTGGAAGTATTTGCCTCTCTAAGTGGTGTCTGTCTGCTTCTCTACCCGAATTGTGAACTCTGTGCGAAGAGGCCCTGGCTTATACTTCTGTTTCCCTCCTGAAAAACAGAAAACACTAGATGATTGAAAAATAAAAAGAAATTTTAAAAAACAGTAGGAAAAATGATGAATTAATTAAACTACAAGTTCCAAAATTGTTTTGTATCAGAGAAGTTCCCCTCTGAGGTTCTTTTCCCTTCTTGATAATTGTCATGGAAACAGAATATTGCATTTCAAAAATTGCTTCCAGCTCTTACAATTGCCTTAAAAGCCGTAAAATAGTATACTTCTGTTCTTTTGACAATTTCTCTTTTTTCCAGCTTTATCGCATTATAATCGATAAACAGAATTTGCATATATTTAAAGTGTACAAAGAGATGATATGCACACACAGTGTGAAATGGTTACCACAGTCAAGCTGATTCACACATCCGTCACCTCATGTGGTTATTCTTTCTTTTTTTGTGGTGAGAACACTTAAGTTCTACTCTCGCAGCAAATTGATGTATATAATATGTAATGATTAACTGTAGTCACCATGCTGTACCTTAGATCGCTAGAATTTTTTTTTTCCTTTTTCTCCCCAAAGCCCCCCAGTACATAGTTGTATATTTTAGTTGTGGGTCCTTCTCGTTGTGGCATGTGGAACGCTGCCTCAGCATGGCTTGATGAGTGGCTCCATGTCCGCGCCCAGGATCCAAACTGGCGAAACCCGGGCCGCTGAAGTGGAGGGCACGAACTTAACCACTCGGCCACGGGGCCAGCCCCACACTAAAACTTTTTATCTTCAGACTTTTTTTGTAATAGGCATCCTAACAGGTGTGAGGTGATATCTCATTGTAATGTTGATTTGCATTTCCCTGATTAATGATGCTCAGGACTGTGGAGGGGAAAACCTACAGTGTTCTCCTCCTGTGTGTCTGCTTTACTACTTACACAGAACACTTCACTTCTGACGCCCCTGATCACCAAATAGTGTGTGTGCTGGGTCGGGGGGGGGGGGGGGGGGTTCCCACAAGAAATTCTCTGTGACACCAGCTGGGTGTCCTACAGTTGAACTCAATTCTGACGCTATCTACTTGGCGATAACATCAGATCCCACAGGTTAAGGGCTCGATCCCACAGGACTGCTCCCCTCTTGAGAGGTTAATTCCAAGTAGAAGGTTCCCAGGTTACCTACAGCTTCTGTCGGATCTGGCTACAAATCAAAGGTTTTCATGACCTCCTCCCCCTGGGATTCAGTTATTTGCTAGAGCAGCTCTCGGAACCCAGGGAAACACTTATGTTTCTCAGTTTATTAAGGGATATGATAAAGGCTACAGAGGAATAGCCACATGAAGAGATGCATAGGGCAAGGTCTGGGGGGTCCCAGGTGCAGGAGCCTCTGTCCCTGTGGAGTAAGGGCACGTCACCCTCCTGGTACAGGGATGTGTTCACTGACCGGGAAGGCCTCCAGACCGCCTCCTATGGGGATTTTTGTGGAGGCTTCATCACACAGTGGTAGATCACTAATTCAACGTTCAGCCCTTCTCCCTTCTCAGGAGAGTAGGGGAGCGGGGCCCAAACGTCCAAGCTCCTCATCAGAGCTTAGTCTTCCTGGTGACCAGCTCCCATCACAGCCCACCCTGAGTCACCTCGTTAGAACCGAAGACACTCCTACGACCCAGGAAATTACAAGGGTGTCAGGAACCGGGGTCACAGATCGAGTATTAGGATAAAAGATGCTCCCAGTGCTCTTATCACTTAGGAAGTTGCAAGGATATTAGGCGATCTGGGCCAGGAACAGGGCCAATGACCAAATGTATTTCTTATTATAAATCAAAGTATCACAAGGACTTTTTCATATACTGATTGGCCATTTGTATGTCTTCTTTGGAATACTGTCTGCCCATTTTTTAATCAGTTTTTTTTGTTTTCTTGCTGTTGCATTGTGTGAGTTCCTTAAGTATTTTGGATATTAACCCCTTCTCAGGTATATGGTTTCCGAGTATTTTCTCCCGTTCATTAGGGAGAAATGTTGATTGTTTCCTTTACTGTCCAGAAACTTTTTTTCTGATGTAGTCCTACTGGTTTATTTTTGCTTTTGTTGCCTGTGCTTTTGGTGTCAAATCCAAAACAAATTATTGCCAAGACCAATATGAAGGAGCATTTCTCCTGTCTTTTCTTCCAGGAGTTTTAAGGTGTCAGGTCTTATGTTTAAATCTTGAATCCATTTGGAGTTGATTTTTGTGTATGGTGTAGGATCGGTGTCTGATTGCATCCTTTTGCATGTGGCTATCCAGTTTTCCCAGCAAAGGGAATGACTATAGGATGAAGACTGTCCTTGCGCTATTGTGTATTCTTGGCACCTTTGTTAAAGATAACTTGTCTGTGTGTGTGTGGGTTTATTTCTCGGCTCTCTTTTCTGCACAATTGGTATAAATGTCTAATTTTCTGCCAGTTCTATACTTTTTTTTTTATTACTGTAGCTTTGTAATATAGTTACCAGAGAATCAGGAAGTGTAGTGTCTCCAGCTTTGTTCTTTATCAAGATTGCATTAGGTATTCAGGGTCTTTTCTGATTTCATACCATATTAGGATTTTGAAAAATATTTCTGTGAAAAATGCTGTTGGAGTTTTCATAAGGATTGCATTGAAGCTGTGGTTCCGTTTGGGCAGTATGGACATTTTAACAATACTAATTTTTCCAGCCCCTGTACGTGTTATCTTTCCATCTATTTGTGTTGTCTTCAATTTCTTTCATCGCTGTTTTTATAGTTTTCAGTGTATAGATCTTTCACCTCTTTGCTTAAATTTATTACTAAGTATTTTATTGTTTTTGATGCTATTCTAAGTGGATTGTTTTCTTAATTTCTTTCTTGGATATTTTGTTGTTAGTGTATAGAAATGAAACTGATTTGCATACGTTGATTTTTGTATCCCACAACTTCACTAAATTCGTTTATTAGTTCCAACAGTTTTTTGGTGGAGTCTTTTGGGTTTTCTCTATAGAAGATCATGTCATCTGTAAACAGAGACAGCTGTGCTTCTTTCTTTCCAGTTTAGCTGACTTTTGTTTCTTTTTCTTGTCTAATTGCTCTGGCTAGGACTGTCAGTACTGTGTTGAGTGGAAGTGGCAGAGCAGGCATCCTTGCCTTGTTCTGGATTTTAGAGGAAAAGCTTTCAGTTTTTAGCCATTGAGTATGATGTGAGCTCTGGGCTCTTCACAGGTGGTGTTTATTGTGTTGAGGTAAATTCCTTCAATACCTAATTTGTGGAGAATTTTTAACATGAAAGAGTGTTGAGTTTTGTCAAAGGCAATAGATGTCAAGTGACTTACACTTCATTCTGTTAATGTGATTATCACGTTGATTTGTCTGGCTTTGTTATCAGAGTAATGCTGGCCTGGTAAAATAAGTTTGGAAGTGTTCCTTCCTCTTCAGTTTTTTGCGGAAATTTGAGAAGGATTGGTATTAATTCTTCTTTAAATGTTTGGTAGAATTTACCAGTGAAGCCATCTGGTCCTGAGCTTTTCTTTGTTGGGAGATTTTTGATTACTAATTCAATCTCCTTACTCATTGTTTGTCCATTCAGCTTTTCTATTTCTTCATGATTCAGTCTTGGTAGATTGTATGTTTCTAGGAATTTATTCAATTCTTCTAGGTTATCTAATTTGTTTGAGTATAATTGTTCATAAGAATCTCTTATAATCCTTTGTGTTTCTGTGGTATCAGTTATAATTTCTCCTCCTTTATTTCTGATTTTAGTAATTCAAATCTTTTTTCTTAGTCTAGCTATACGTTTGTTAATTTGGTTTATCTTTTCAAAAAACTAGTTTCTTTGACCAGATAGTTTTATACTTTCATATGTTTTTGTGTAACTAATTAGCATCCTTTCATTTCTGCTTGAAGAACTCCCTTTGGCATTGCCTGTAAGGCAGGTCTATTGGTGATGAAGTCTCTCAGCTTTTGTTGGTCTGGCAAAGCCTTTTCTTTCCTTCAGTTCTGAAGTGTAGCTTTCCTGGATAAAGCATCCTTGGTTGGCAGTTTCCATCTTCAAGCACTTTGAATATGGCATTCCATTCTGTCCTGCCTTGCAAGGTTTCTCCTAACAAATCCATTAGTAGTCTAACTGGAGTTCCCTTGTATGTGACGAATCACTTTCCTCTTGCTGCTTTCAAATTCTCTGTCTTTGATATTTATAATATGATTACAATGTGTCTGTGAAGTTGTCTTTGTCTCTGAACCTGTTTGGAGACATTTGAGCTTCATTTACCTGGATGTCCCTCTCTCTCCCAAGATTTGGGAAGTTTTCAGCCTTTTTTTTTTTTTTTTTTTTTTTGAGGAAGATTAGCCCTGAGCTAACTACTGCCAATCCTCCTCTTTTTGCTGAGGAAGACTGGCCCTGAGCTAACATCCATGCCCATCTTCCTCTGCTTTACATGTGGGACGCCTACCACAGCATGGCTTTTGCCAAGCGGTGCCACATCTGCACCCAGGATCCGAACTGGTGAACCCTGGGCTGCTGAGAAGCAGAACATGCGAACTTAACCACTGCGCCACCGGGCTGGCCCCCCCATTATTTCTTTAAAGAAGCTTTCTCCCCCTTTCTCTGTTCTCCTTCTGGAACTTCCATATTGCATATATTATTTCTCTTGATGGTGTTCCATAAACCCTGTAAGCTTTCTTCATTCCTTTTTTCTCCTCTAATTGGGTAATTTCAAATGGCCTGTCTTCAGTTTCACAGATTCTTTCTTCTGTTTGATCAAGTCAGATCTCAAAGTTCCCTACTGCATAATAGCCTATTCCGTTTCATTCATTGTATTCTTTTTTGTTGTTGTTGCTGTTGAGGAAGATTCACCCTGAGCTAACATCTATTGTATTCTTAAGCTCCAGAATTTCTGATTGGTTTTTTGTGATTTCTATTTACCTGTTGAATTTCTTGTTTTGTTCATGTGTTGTTTTCCTGATTTCACTGAATTGACCATCCGTGTTCTAATGAAGCTTGCTGATCTTCCTTGCAATTATTCTGAATTCTTTGTCAGACTATTTATAGATCTCCATTTCTGTGGGATCAGTTACTGGAAGATTATTGTGTTCCTTTGTGGTGTCGTTTTCCCTTGTTGTGTCTTGTTTGTTGAAGCTTTGTGTTGCTGTCTTCACATCTGTAGCAGTCATCTCCTCCAGGCTTCACTCACTGGCTTTGGGAGAGAACACCTTCATCAGTCAGCCCAGCTAGACATTTTGAGGCTCTCTCAAACCTTTTCTGTGGATGCACCCACTTCATGCCTCTTGTCCCCTCTTTAGGGGGCATTCTTAAGGTTGTATGCCCTCTCTTAATCCCTCAAAAGACGGCTGGGTGCTGAGGGTCTATCGTTTGTCTCCTAAGGTGGTTGCCTGAAATACTCAAGTGTCTGTGTCTTCTTGCAATCCCCCCAGGTCAAGCCGGCTGAATGTACGTGCTTGCAAGACATTTGCAGAGGCTTGCACTCATCATCTGGAGAGCGTGTGGGGAGCTGGACGCAGGGTGGAGGTTGAGGCATGCCCGTGGGCTGGTTAGAAGTGTCTGTGGGCATAGCCTCCCAAGTGGCTGGTGTGTGAGCCTCCTGATGGAGACTGCGAGCAGTTAGTAGGGTCTGCAGCCCTTTTTTGATTTCCGAGCCCTGGTTGGTCTGAGTCTCGTAGATTTCCCAGTACCAGCCTTCCAGCCACTCATCCGTGCTGATGCCCTTGGTATTCTTAGGGAGACGAGACAGCTGCGGGCCTCTTGGGCAGTGTCCCACGCCACTGGGGCTGCCAAGTACTCAGTGACTACACTCTCACTTTCCCATGCCGGAGCAATTGCAGGCCAACCCGAGGGGGTCCCTCTTGGCTATGAGATGGGCTGCTTTGAGGGGGCAGTGATACCGGGAAAGGGAAACTGTTCTTCTCTGTGTCTGCAATGTGTCTGTTCTCAGTTTATTTGTCCCAGTGGTGTGCTGGAACTTCTCCACACGACTCCCAGACAGGTCCTCATCCTCGGATGGTTGTCAAAATTGGTGCGCTGTGGGGAGATATCAGTAGAAAACTCCTATTCTGCTATCTGCCTGGCCTCGCTCGCTCCCTGACCCATGCGTACTTCAGAAGGGGCTTGTTTAATCTCCAAGTATTTGGAGGTTTTCCAACGATCTTTCTGTTAGTGATTTCTAGACTAATACCTTTGTGGTCTATGAGCATACTTTGTATGATTTCTGTTCTTTCAAATTTTTTAGTGTGTTTTGTGTCCCAGAATGTGGTCTATTTTGTGAATGTTCCATGTGAACTTGAGAAGAATGTGCCTTCTGCTGTGTTTGGATGAAGAGTTGCATGGATTTCTATTAAATCCACTTGTTTGACGGTGCTGTTTAATTCAACTATGTCCTTTCTGGTCTTCTGCCTGCTGGAACTCAGTTACTGATGGGGACTGTTGGAGTCTCCAACTGTAATAGCGGATTCTTCCATTTCTCCTTGCAGTTCTGTCGTTTTATTTCCTTGTGTATTTTGGCCCTCTCTTGTTAATGCACACGCACACTAAGTGTTGCTGTGTCCTCTTGGAGAACTGACCCATGAAGCGTTATGTAATGACCCTCTTTATCTCGCGAGTTTTCCTTGCTCTGAAGTCTATTTTGTCTGAAATTCATATAGCTATGCCAGCTTTCATTTAGTGTGGGCATGACATATCCTTCTCCATCCCTTTACTTTTAATCTGTATCTTTATGTCTCAAGTGTGATTCTTATAGACAAGATAGAATTAGGTGTTATTTTATTATCCACTGTGACAGTTGGCATGTTCCCCTTGTATTGAGACCATTGATGTTTAAAGTGATTATTGATATAGTTGGATTAATATCAACCATACATTTGCAACTAACCTAAGCCTTCTCTGTGGTAACACCATCGCACTTCACTGGACGTGCAAGTGCCTCATAACAGTTTTCCGATTCCTGCCTCCAAAGCCCTTGGAACATTGCTGTCAATCATTTTTCTCATCCAAAAGCTATAATTACTGAATGCGCTGCTGCTGTTATCTTCAACAAAGTGTTATCTGTCAGATAACTAAGAATAACAAAAACAAGTGATTTTATTTTACCTTCCTTTATTCATTCTCAAACACTTTTTTTTAAAATCATTTATCTTCTTCATAATCAATTTCTTTTAACATTTCTTGCAAAGCAGGGGTACTGATGACGAATTTTTGTTTGTCCCAGAAAGTCTTTATTTCTCCCTCACTTTTGAAAGATAATTTTGCTTGACACAGAATTCTAGTTGGATGGTGTTTCTTTCAACACTTTATTTCACAAAACTCTCTTCCTGCTTGCATGGCTTCTGAAAACGTGTCCAGTTTCTTATCCTTGTTTCCCTAGAACTAAGGGGTGTTTTCCTCTAGTTTCTTTCAAGATTTTCTCTTTGTCTTTGATTTTTCTCGAGTTTAAATATATATTTCTGGGTGTGCATTTTTCCATTTTTGTCTTGCTTGGTGATCTCTGAGCGTCCTAGATCTGCATTTTGCTGTCTGTCATTAACTTGGGGAAAATCTCACTCACTATGACGTCACTTATTTCTGCTGTTGCTTGCTTTCTTCTACTTCATGTATTCCCATTACTTTGTGTATGTTACACTTCTTGTAATTGTCCCAAAGTTCTGTCTTTGGATAGCGGATTCACCCATGTCTCCTTGCTGTTCTATCAGTTTTTCTTGTGTCTTTGGGCCCTCTGTTGTTATGCACATGCGCACTAAGTATTGCTTCATCCTCTTGGAGAACTGATGCCTTCAGCGTTATGTAATGACCCTTTTTCTCTCTTGCGTTTTCCTTCCTCTAAAGTCTGTTTGTCTGAAATTCATATAGGTATTTCAGCTTTCTTTAGTTTAGTGTTGGCATGGTGTTTCCTGTTCTTTCTTGTTCTTATCTTTGCATTTCAATTGGGAAGGTTCTGGTGACGTCTCCTCAAGCTCACTGATTCTTTCTCGTCCGTTTCCGCCGTATGGATGAGCCCTCCCCCACCAAAGGAATTCTTCATTTCTGGGTTTTTTATTTGTTTTTCATTTTTTGCATTTCCCACTTGGCTCTTTCTTAGGGTTTCCATCTCTGCATCTGTTATCTATCTGTTCTCACACGTTCCCCACTATTTCCATTATAGCCCTTAACATATTAATCACGGTTGCTTTACAACTCTAGTCTGATAATTCCAACATATCTGCTACATGTAAATCAGGTTCTTTTGCTTGTCCTGTGTCTTCAAACTGTGTTTGTAAGTCCTTTAGTATGCCTTTTGGTATTTTGTTGAATTCTGGAAAGGATGTACTGTGAAAAAGGGGCTGAGGTAAATAGGCCTTTAGTGTGAGGTTTTATGTTTATCTGACTAGAGCTTAGACTGTGTTTACTATTGGTTGTGGTTGTCAGAGGCTAAAATATCCTCCGGTGTCCTTGCTGTTGTCTCCTGTGTCGTCTCTGGGTTCTGTAGAGGCTTCTTAAATAAGGTTTGAAACATGCAGTTCTGCCAGTGTGTTCCACTGTTATCACACAGGAGTCCTCCTGATATAGTGTTGTGTTGTGGGTGGAGCGGACGTGTTCTAGAGTCCCTTGATTTGGCCTCAGTATGTTAATGAGCCCGTGTGCCTGGACTGTGACCTTCTTTGGTATAATAATGATAGTTGGTCTTTGGCCCTGGTTCCTAGCAAAGACCCCTCCTAAAGCCCTTGGAGCTTCTTGTGTGCTAAGGATGATGGGAGCATCTTATGTCCAGTGAGGTGACTGTTTGTGGGCCCCTGGATAGCTTAATGATGGGGTTTGATCGCCAGGAAGACCAAGCTTTGATTAGAGGCATACAACTTTCAATCAACCCCCAGCCTCTGGGGAGAGGAGGGGCTGGAGACTGAGTTGTTCGCCAATGGCCGGTGATTTAATCAGTCATGGCTGCGTGAAGAAACCTCCTTCAAAATTCCCAAACCTCGGCGTTCAGAGAGATTCGGGGCTGGTGAACACATCAGTGTGCTGGGAGGCCGTCATGCCTGGAGAGGGCGTGGAAGCTTCCTGTCGCCCCTCCCATACTTTGCCCTGTCGTGCTTTCCATTTGTTCCTGAGTTGTGTCTTTACCGATGCACTGATAATAAATAGTAAGAAAAGCTCTTTCCTGACTTCTGATAGTCATTCTACTGACTTATGGAACCTCTGGGCTTGTGCAGGGAACCTCCAAATTTGGAGTCAGCCATGCAGAAATGTGTGTAGCCTGGGCCCCCCATTTGCAGCTGGCCTCTGACGTGGGGGCATCTTGTGGGACTGAGCCCTTAAACTGTGGAGTCTGATGCTGACTCTGGTTAGTCAGTGTTGGAATTGAGTTGAATGCTAGGCCACTCAGTTGGTGTCAGAGGGTTGGAGAAGTGGGTGGAAAACACACTACAGGAGGAAAAACAACTATCAGTCTCACAAGGGTTTCCCAGTCCCCCCACCCTCCAGTTAGGTCCAGCAGAAAGGCTAGAAGGGACTCGTGCTGGCTGTTTCCCTCCCCGCACGCCGGTTAGGTGCTGGTGAAATGCCAGTCTGTTGGGCTCTGGGGAAGCAGAAGACTCTGAGGACAGGCCTCGCTAAGACGAACGGAATGTTGGGCGCATCTTTCACACTGGCCGCTTTTCTGGCTCTCTTTCCAGTTTTGGAGATAGCGGTTTGCCCTGTGGCTAATGCCTTGATAGATGTGAGCTGTGAATTTTCAGTCCGTTAGCTGTTCTCTGGTGAGAATGGGAATGGCACCTTCCAAGCTCCTCACATGCCACGTGAGAAACCAGAGAGAGGTCTCTGACTCCATTTTTTAATGTTTGACTGCTGACAGCTTTAAAAGCCTCACCCCTCCTCCTTCCCCTTGCGCCCCACATCTGGACAGGGTGACGAGAAAGCCTGGCTGCTCCCTCCCTTGGCGCTGACCAGACATTCAGTCCCTGGAACCTGTCACCTGTGTGTGTGTGAACTCTCAGCCTGGCCCACCCCTCACCTCCATAAAAACCCAGGCCAGCCTCCTCTCGCTGCTCTCTCTGGGCATTTCCCACCTGCCTGAGAGGCCTGCCCGCCCTCCCCCGACACTTCCATTCTGGAAGTAATAGACCCTTTCGTATGGCAGGTATATGTTGTCAACCAGACCTTGGGAGGGGGCCCACCTGACTCCGGGTGACCATAACATTTATAGAGGGGGTGCCGTGGTGTATGGATTGCAATACACTTTGCTTAATTGTTCTATTGATAAATACTCCAGACCTTTACATATCAACGCATGCCACCCTTTCTTTTTAAAAGGTACAGACGATGACGAGTTTACATAACCCATTCTTTCTAAATAGACACATGGCTTGTTACCAATTTTGCTGCCAAAACCATGAATGAAAACTCCGATTGCCACATTATGGGGCAAACAAACGTATACAAATTATGTTCTTTTCCAATCTGAATTACTTCTTAAAATTTTCATCATCAAATAACATTCAGAAAAGAATGTGCACGATATTTTGTGGTAGGATTTAGTGATAACAATATGAACGTCCTTGGAATCGTCATCAAGATTCATAAATGGCCTGTGGGCCGCGGTGAGTCCCCTGACGCTCCTGGCCCTGTCTCATCTGACCCGCCCTGTAGGTGACCACTGTCCTCACTCGTTCTTCTTCACACCTTACCATCCACCAACCAATGTTCTTCGTTTTACCTCCTTTGACATTTCCACAAATGAGTATTAATGGAATTGCATTGAAAAGTATTCACACGTGCTGGCGCCGGATGCCTGGGGCCTGCCCTGGGGCTGTGGGGTTCAAACCTCCCACCGCAGCCAGGCGCCCGGAGCCCACCGGACCCTTTAAAGACCCCAGCGAGCGGGGACGGGGGCGGGGGTCTCCCCGCTGGAGATGGTCAAAGATCAAACGGAGCCAGGCTCATTGTGACATATGGTGAGGTCCCTTTGAAGTGTCTGTGTGCGCAAGGAAGGGTCACAGTTCCGGGCTTGGCCTCCGGCCTCATGGTTCAATGCAGCGTCCTTGCAGAGGACAGGTTCTGGCCTGCGGCCAAGGCAAGGTCGGCTCAAAGATGCGCCCCCGGCCTGCTGTCACTCAGGCACAAGGGGGCGGGGCCTTGTGAACTGTCCAATCAGGGGAGTCGCCGGAAACGTACGTGGGGGCGATAACTGCGTGGACGGCGTGCTGGGCCGTGGTCGCTCCGGGATCGCCTGTCGCTGCCTTCGGTGGCCGAGCCACGTCGTCTGTCGCTGTGAGCTGCACTGGCCGCGGCAGTCGGAGAGTGGACGTCCTGGGACCCCAGAAACCGGAAAATGGTGAGTGTGCGGCTGGGTGGCAGGGGACGGGGCGGAGGGCCGGGCTCCCCGCGGTCAGCTCCGGTGCTGTGGCCGAGGGGGCGGAGGCGCGGCACGCGGTCGGGACCCCTGTCCTCGCCTTCACCGCGCCGCCTCTCCCCACACGGTGCGGGGCCCGCAGGAGGGTCCGCAGGACAGTCGGGCCTCGGGCTCCGGGGTCCGTGAGCGGAGGGGCTGTGGTCTGTGGGGTCCCCAGGGCCTTCTTTCTCCCCAGGGGGCACCTGTTTCCCCTGAATTTTCCACTTATTTGAGGAGCAGGGTCTCAAATCCACGACCCTGTCCCCCCAGCCCAGCTCTTTGCAGGAGTGACAGTAAATCCCTGCATTTCCAGATCTTTGCCCGCATTCCCGAACGCCATCTTCCCTCTCCCGTTCACAGCAGCGTTATTAACTGTTTGTCCTCCGTGGTGCATTTCAGAATCTGCATTGTAATTAGCACACATCCACAGAGCCCCGGCTGGCTCTTCAGGATTTATTTTTGTGGGTGTTTTCCATGAGAGGGGAGCAGAGGTTAGCCGCCCGGAGCCACGTGTGTATCCTCGTGCTCTCCCGCAGCCTCTCTCCGGGCGCAGACATCCTGGGGAAGTCCTCTGGGCCCAGGTTCCTCTTGGGAAAGTTTTCTGGCTGACCTGGCCTTTCAGCGCTGCACCTCCTTGTGTTTGTCACTTTGAAAAGATTTATTCACGTATTTGAGACTCAGTTTTTCAATAAACTTAAATTTTATTTTATCAGGATGGCTTGGGAGACAGTATAGAGTATTTCCAGAGAGGCAAAAAAGAGATGACTTTCCAAAAAAAAATGAAATGTCATTATTATGTCCCATTTGTTAAAACCCTTATTTCCCTTTTTTCTCCCCCTGAGCGGCTGTAGTAGCATTCTGAGGTCTGCTCTGTTGTTTTGGGTGACTTTAATGGCATGTGGGGGCTTCCTTAGACTTGCACCATCTACAAGTGTTCCAGTGTTAATTGTTTACAAATGAGTTTCTTTTCTCAGAAATAACAACTGACATCTTCATTTTCTGGTAGAAATAGATATTTGTGGGTCTTCTTGTTGAACCAGTAAAGTTGCCTTACAATTTTCTTTTCTCCTTTACGCATGAACACTGGGTTTGAGTGATTTCGCTGGATTCTCGAAACACTGGGCCTATGTCATTTAAATTATCAGTGTTGGTCCAAAGCTTTGTGACTGGGGAGCAGAGGCCGGAGGCCAGTGACCCGAAACTAAGGCCCCCTGAGCAAACAAGGGGGGTTCTTAGGCCTAGATGTTTTCCAGTGTTGTGTTTGACTTTTGCAACCACATGTTGAGTGTAATCTGTGCACAGTGAAGGTCAGGGGTTCCGTCCTGTGGACAAAGGGTTCATGAATTTGGAGTTCATGTGGGTCAGAAGCTTAAACTGAATCCACTTGAGAGTTTCCTCACTTGTGAGAGTGGGAGTCTGGGGGAGGCAGCGCTTCCATGCTCACAGGAGAGGGAGGGTGTGTGGGGCTCCCAGAGCGCCTTCCTGTGGCTGCTCAGGTGCCCTCCCCTCCTTCACCAGGGACTGACTCCCTCCAGGGGATCTGTCTCCACCAGGAGAGTCCAGACCCCAAGCCAGGGAATGTGTGTTACCTTTCTAGCTGTGGGCTTTCCTTCTGAACTGCGGGGAAGCAGGCCGCTTTGCAGATTCGAGTGTTGGCATTTCTTTCCTTTGTCTTTTCTTTATCTGTTGAATAGTTCAGACCTTTACCTCTAGTTTCTTAACTTAGCAGTTTGTAATTTTATTTCCTGAGTCAGTGTGTAAGAATTTTGATTCCTTGGGCTTTGAAAATGTAAGCTGATGGAGAAATATGTAAGGAAGGCAAGAAAATCCTGGAACCAAACAGAATTTTTGTTTCGTTTAGGTGACAGAATCTCAAGCTGTAAGATGGGTGTTTTTTTAAGATCTCAGGCACATTATTAATTTTTAGATGAGTTTTTGCATGTGCATGTCCCTAGAGAACTTTGATGTTTAAAAGGCTATATTATTCTTAAGGCAAATGAATTTTTACTTAAATTGATGAGAGGAAAAAGATTGAATTCCTATTTTAGTTGATATGAGAAAAACTACTCAAGCTTATGTAAACCTTGGAAAGTCCTAGCAGGTTTCAGGGACTAAATGCAAACCCCTATTGCATTATGATACGCTGCTCATTCCTGACCACATCCCTAGTGTGAAATACAGCAGGGGGACAAACGATAATGCTTGTCCTTTTAGTTAGAAAGAGATTTGAAATGCTTTTTTAATTGTTCTTTTTTTAAAATTTTTTCTTCTCCCCAGGGCCCCCGAGTACATAGTTGTATATTCTAGTTGTAGATCCTTCTGGTTCTGCTATGTGCGATGCCACCTCACCATGGCTTGATGAGCAGTGCCATGTCCACGCCCAGGATCCAAATCGGGGAAACCCTGGGCCGCCAAAGCGGAGCTCGTGAATTTAACCACTCGGCTACGGAGTCGGCTTCTGAAGTTTTTCATTTTTTATGGTTTGCAGGTTTATACCCACTAGTGTTTAAAAATTCAATCTTAGAATGATTTCCTATGTAGAAAAGTTAAAATTAAATAAATTTAAAGTAGCAAAAGTTAATTTAAAAAGAGACTATTACATAGTAAAATATATATAAATTTCTGTTTATTTTAAATAATGCATTCAAAAGATAAAAAAAAAAATTATAAGAAACTTCTAGGGGCCAGCCCCGTGGCTCAATGGTTAAGTTTATGCGCTCTGCTTCAACAACCCAGGGTTCACCAATTTGGATCCTGGGCACGGGCCTACACATCACTCATCAAGCCATGCTGTGGTGGCATCCCACATAGAAGATGTAGAATTGTGTACAACTAGGATATACAACTGTGGCTGGGGCTTTGAGGAGGAAAGAAACAAGAACAAAAGAGAGGAAGATTGGCAATAAATGTTATCTCAGGGCCAGTCTTCCTCACCAGAAAGAAAAAGAAAAAGAAACTTCTAGACTTCAAAAAAAACTTGTAAGATATGAAATGAGGTTTCGGGTTTTTTAGAGCATTTTAGGTTTACAGAAAAATCGATCAGAAAGTACAGAGTTCCCACTTGAACACTCTACATCCACACACTTTGCACTATTTTTTACGTCTTGTATTACTGTGGTACATTTGTTACAGTTGATGGGCCAATATTAATGCATTACAGTCCACTGTTTACATTCGCATTGACTCTGTGTGTTCTGCAATGTGTGGGTTTCGGCAAATGTTTGATGACATGTGTCCATCCTTTCTGTGTCGTAGAGTGTAGTTTCACCTCCCTAAAACTCCATGCTCCACTTCTTGACTCATCTCTCCCCCAACCCCCAGATCCTTCACAACCAAAGACCTGTCTACTGGCCTCTAGTTTTGTCTCTTCTGGGATGTCGTATACTCGTAGTCACACAGTGTGTAGCCCTGTCTCATTGGCTTCTTTCCCTTAGCGATATACTTTTTAAGGTTCCTCCATGTGTTTTCATGGCTTGATGCCCATTTCTTTTTATCACAGAACAGTATTTCATTCTCTGAGTATACCACAGGTTGTTTATTCATTCTGCTGTTGAAGGATATCTTGTGTCACTCTGCGTCTTGCCAATTATGAATAAAACACCTGTAAACATTCATTTGCATGTTTCTGTGTGAACGCAAGTCTCCAGCTCATTTGGGTAAATACCGAGAAGTATGATCACTAGATCCTGTGGTAAGTAGTTTAGTTTTGTAAGAAACTGCCTGTCTTTCAAAGCAGGCAGACTATTTTCCATTCCCACCAGCAATGGATGCGGGGTCCTGTAGCTTTACCTCTTTGCCAATATTTGGTGTTCTGAGTGTTCTGAATTTCATCCATTGTAATAAGTGTCCACCTATATCCATTGTTTTATTTGCACTTCCCTAATGACATTTGATGTTGAGCTTTTCATGTATTTATTTGCCATCTGCATATCTTCTTTGGTGATGTGTGTTCAGATCTTCTGCCCATTTTTAATTGGGTTGTTTGTCATTGTTGAGTTTTAAGAGTTCTTTGGACATTTTGGATTCAGTTTGTTATCAGATAAATGTTCCGCTAAGATTTTCTCCCAGTTTGTGACTGTCTTTTCATTTTCTTACCCCTGTCTTTTGTAGAACGGGGGGGTTTTATTTTAATGAAGTGAAGCTTACCATTTTTTTCTTTCATGGATCTTGCTTTTGGTGTTTTGTCTTAAAATTTACCAGTTAACTCAAGGTCACCTTGATTTTCTCCTGTGTTGTCTTCTAGGAGTTTTTACTTTTGCATTTTACATTTAGGCCTATCTTTTATATTTAGATCTAGTTTCAGTTAATTTTTGTGAAAGGTGTAAAGTCTATCTAGAGTCATTTGGGAGGAGGGGTTGCATGTGGATATCCACTATTTCCAGCACTGTTGGTTGAAAAGACTTTCTTTCCTCCATCAGATTGTCTTTTTTTCCTTTGTAAAGCATCAGGGATCCATAGGAAAGGAGTTGACTTCTGTATCCTTAAACCTTGCTGTACTCTCATTAATTCTCTGAGTGATCGCTGTTGTTTTGGATTCTTTTCGCATTTTTACATAGAAAATCATGTCACGCAACAAGGACAGTTTTATTTCTTGCTTCCCATCTGTGTACCTTCTATTTCCTTTTCTTGCTTGATTGCATTAGCTCGGTCTTCTAGTACAGTGTGAATAGGAGTGGTGACAGGTGACTTCTTAACTCTGTTTCTTATCTTACCAGAAAGCGTCTAGTATCTCACCATTAAGTATGTACAAGTTTCACATAGACGTTCTTTTTCAAGAACAGTAACTCCCCTCTATTTCTGGTCTATTATCATAAATGGGTGTTGGATTTTATCCAGTGCTTTTTCATTTCCTCTCCTTTCATCCCTGATACTGCTCGTTTTTGTCTTCCTTCTGTTCTCAGTTAGCTTGACATTTATCAATTTTATTAATTATTTCAAGGAAC